AAGAGGATCAGAGTCTTCAATGTGTTGATCACAAGACCAGTAGCATATCCACATGAAACTAGTAATCGGAAAAGCGCTGGAAGCGTGCAATGCAGATCCCTCGATACATGAGCCAGCTCGTCTGCGAAACACTTAATGGGCGATATCGGCCGAGGAAGAATGGCACACATACGACGGACCACAGGATCCAGAGCCAGAGCGAATATCGAACCAGACATCGGGCAGCCCTGCTTAATCCCAGAGAGGACGGTGAAGCCCATGGAGACAGCCCCATAATATACTATCGATGTACGAATATTGTTGTAGAGCGCGCGGATACTGCGCACAATGAAATCAGGCGATCCCACGACCATAAGCACCCAGAAGATCCAGGAGTGAGCGAGGCTAGGAAAGGCGGTTTTGAAATCCACCAACGTAGCCCCACAATCTCGATTGCCCTCTACATCACCCCATATCGACAGCGACGACGAGACTTCCAAAATATGATCAGCCATCTCTCTACCCTTAACGAACCCCGTCTGAGCCCGGTATACTGTATATTGTGCTTGTTGTGCAAGACCCGAGTCGATCGCGTGCGAAATCATTTTGTTCGAGGTGCCAGATAGCGAAAGTGGACGGGTGGTAGCGGGCGTGCGCGCAATAGCCATAGCTTCGCTAGGGAGAATACTCTTAGGTAAGAAAACCATGTAGCAGTAATTGAAGTCAGCAGGCAGCACTTCCCCTCCCAAAACGCACTGACAAACCTCATAGAGTATTTGACTAGCACCATCTCCTCCGTAGTGATAGCATGAGAAAGGGATGCCATCAGGGCCAGGGGCGGCGTCATTTTTTTGCGAAGCATTTCGCGGAACGTGCCGAGAGAGATCTGCCAGCGAACGTCGCGCGAAGCGGCTTGCACGAGAGGGCGATAGCGCTCCCAGTCCTCCCCCCTCACCTCCTTGGCCTCGTGAACCTTCCCCCAGTATGAAGCAAGCATAGCTGCGCCCGAAGCTTTATCAGGTGCTTCCTGACCGTCGGGGCCAATGACAGCGCGCAGCGATAGCCGACGATTGCGATCGGCCCAAGCAGCGTGCAATCGTTGAAGCTTATCCTTCTGCTGAACTTTAAATGCACTGTTGATCGACTCGTTGTTATCGAGCTCATTCTCCTGCTCGCGAAGGTGGGCGAGGGTGGCCGATCGCATAGAAGAGTGCAAACCAGCGAGATCATTCCAATTCATATCTTCTGATATGCACTGTCTAAACTCAGGCACTGCACGACGAGCTTTTCGAATAAAACGAGATTGAGACGATTCCATAGCGCGCATCACAACGAAGCACCAGCTGACCTCCTCCTCTGAGCTCTCAGGACCATGAAAAAGACAACTGGTCCTTAGTGAGGTCGGCGGCGTAGCGCATCGCATCTTTCAAAAACCGCATCTTGTCAAATGGGTGCCAGGATGGCGGAATATCCGTCATAATCGCAGCCAAGTTCTCAGCAAAAACAGGCTTGCGCACAACCCGCGATGGAATTCGACGAGCTACTTTATCGCCAGAGGGCCGACCTGGTCGGAGCTGAAGATAGAGAGGGACATGATCACTGGGCTCGTGCGAAGAAGTAACTTCCCATTGCACCCCCACACGTGGATGCCAATCACATATAGCACCCGCCGGAGCGTCCGCAGATATTTTGTCAATGCGGGCGGCAGACACCAATCGCCCTTGCTGCATTGCACGGCGCGTCGGCTAGTCTTGCTGGAACTCTAGCATTCGACGAAGAAGTTTACCGAAATAGGTGCCCAACGAATCAGATTTGTGAATGCGATCGGCGTCGAGCGCGTAGAAGCTAGTGTCACCAGGCGACGGGCAATTGAAGTCTCCAGACACAATAGCGGGACCTCGCTCGAACGTTGGGATATGACGAGCCAACTTCAAGAGCGCAAGCTTCTTAATTTCCATCGAATATTGTCGAGGAGCGTGAACATTGTAAAAGAACATGGCGCCTTTGTCTCCACGCGACATCAAGACAGATTGACGACCAGTCGGGAGAGCCCGAAACTTGATATCAGCAAAACCAGCCAGAAACGATTTGCGAATCATCGTAATAGTACCGCCACTATGCGAGGGTAAGAAACTGCCGTAACACTCACACATGGGGAAATCAGAGCACAAGGAGTGAATATTATCTTCGTGGCCATGCGTCTCCTGGGGAAGAATACATGTAGCACCACGAGCGATAGTATGTAATCACTGCCACTTGAGATCCTGCCGCGAGGACTCACCACCAACGGCGGCGAAGAGAGTCTGGACGTTCCAGGTGTAGAGTTTGAAACTTTGTTTGGCTTCGTATGGAAAGGAAGGCAGATGTTGCACTTGGCAATCACATTCAAACGTACTATCGTCAGCAGAAGAGCCAGAAGAAGATGAGGAGGACGAGGTAGAAGACGAAACGTTCACTGCAGCATGAAATTGCTCGACGCCAGCACCCCTCGCCGACGGGGCGACCAAATCGGGGTCATCTCGTCCATGTGACAAACTCACCTCCTAATGCGAGGAAGCGAGGCTAGCAACGATGGTGGTGATGGCATTCAGGCCCATGCCAAGGGCCTGAATCTCGGACGGGTTGGGCGCGACATTGTAGCGGCCAAGGGAGTCAACCTCTGCCTTCAGCACGGGGAAAACTTCCTCTTGCTTGATGACGCAGAACTCATTCCTGAAACCGTTACCAGACATGCGCATATCCTGGGTCCACATATTCTTTGGCGATCTAATGCTGTTTGATCGGGTCGTAGTACTTCGCAAGGGCCCGCTGGCGAACACGAACATCTTCAGGCAGATCCTGGCGGGCTTCGATATGGAATTTCACCTGCGAACGCGGATCCGACCACGTGGCATTGCTGCGATTGAACATGGTACGACACTCTTTGGCAGCTTCTGCATTCTCGAAATTGACCATATAACTCTGGCTGCTGGCAACGAAGTAAGTCCCCGTCCATGTACGATTCGCAACCGGAATTTGTGCCGCCATCTCATTATGCCATTTCTCACGCTGAGCACGAAGCGCAGGGCGAGGCCATCAATTTATCCATACCTTAGAATCATCCGAATCCGCCGCGGTAGTGCCCACAGCAGAGCTCAAACCAGTTGAGAGAAGACGCCGCTTGAGACCACCTTGAGGCACCGTCGAGGGGGCACCAGTAGAGGAACCAGCACTGGTCTGCTTATTCTCCAGAATCGTCATCCGCTCCTCAAGGGTCGCATTACGCTTATCGATTGTCTCTTTCACCTCTTTCGTGATATCATCCTTGAACTTGGGAAGATTTTCTTTCATCTCAGACACTTGGCCAGTGAGAATCTGAAGAGACGATGCCATTTTCCTTATCTCCTCAAGAAAAGTGCTCAGCTCCATCGCCATGGCTGCAACGACACAGGAGGCGAGCAGAAAAAGGGGTGACCGCCTGAGTCTGACCTCAGGAACGCCTCCTCGCGGAAGGCTGCCGCACTCAACCTGGGGCCTGTCCCCAACCTTGAGCCAAAATGGCATCGGATGATGATGATGATGATGATGATGATGATGATGATGATGATGATGATGATGATGATGATGATGACGATGACGATGATGATGATGATGATGATGATGATGATGATGATGATGATGATGATGATAACGATAATGATGATGATGATGATGATGATGATGATGATGATGATGATGATGATGATGATGATGATGATGATGATGATGATGATGAAGACGACGACGACGACGACGACGACGACGGGGAGGATGAGGACGGCAACAAGAGGGGGGACGAAGAAGAGAAGGAGGAGGCCGAGGACGAGGCCGCGGAGGAAGAGGAGAATGAGGGGGAGGAGGAGGAGGAGGAGGAGGAGGAGGAGGAGGAAGAGGAGGAGGAGGGGGAGGATGCGGACGATGAGGACGAAGAGAAGGAGAGGAGGAGGAGGAGGAGGAGGAAGAGGATTAGGATTAGGAGGAGGAGGAGGAGGAACAGAAGATAGAGGAGGACGACAAGGAGAAGGACGAGGAGGAGGAGGAGGAAGAGGAGGACTAGGAGGGGGACTAGGAGGAGGAGGAATAGGAGGAGGAGGAGGATGCGGAGGAGGATGCGGAAAGAGGCAGAGGAGGGAGAGGAGACGGACGACGACGACGAGAGAGGAGGAGAACATGATGAGAGGGAGAGGAGGAGGAGGAGGAGGAGGAGGAGGAGGACGCGGAGGAGGAGGAGGACGAGGAGAAGGAGAGGCAGACGAGAAGAGGGAGGAGGAGGCGGAGGAGGAACAAAAAGAAGGAGATGAAGGTGGACGTTAAGAGCACACAGAGAAGGAGATGAGGAAGAGGAGGAGGAGGAGGAGGAGGAGGACTAGGAGGAGCGCGAGGACAAGGAGGAGGAAGATGAGGAGGAGGACGAGAGGGAGGAGGAGGACGAGAAGGGGGAGGAAGGAGGAAGAGAGGAGGAAAAGGAGAACGAGAAGGAGGAGGAAGACGAAGGGAGGGACGCGACGAGGAGGAGGAGGACGAGGAGGAGGACAAGGAAGTAAAGAAGACTAGGAGGAGGATGAGGAGAAGGAGGAGGAGGAGGACGCGGAGGAGGAGGACGAGGAGGAGGAGGACGAAGTAGTAGTAGGCGGAGGCGACGGAGGAGGAGGAGAAGGATGAGGACGACGAGGAAGAGGAGGAGGACTGTAGGAGGAGTAGGAGGAGGAGGAGGAGGAGGAATAAGGCTGAGGAGGAGAGGCGGGGGAGGAGGAGAAGGAGGAGGAGGAGGAGGAGGAGGAGAATGAGGAGGAGAATGAGGAGGAGAATGAGGAGGAGGACGAGAAGAAGGATGATGAGGAGGATGAGGAGGTCGAGGAGGACGAGGAGGAGGAGGAGGACGAGGAGGAGGAGGAAAAGGAGGACGAGGAGGAGGAGGAGGACGTGGTGGAGAGGAAACGAGGAGGAGGAGGAGGAGGACGGGAGGAGGAGCAGCAACAGCAGCAGGTGTGAGAACGATGAGCCTGAAAGCCCGCGCAGCGCCGCCCTTGCCCGGCAGCTCCCTGCCCGCGCCGTGGCGAGCCGCGGGGGCGGCCGCCGCAGCCTCGCGGCGCGGCGCGCGGGCTCGCGCGGGCTCGCGGCGGGCTCGCGGCGGGGCGCGCGCTCGCGGCGGGGCGCGCGTCTCCTCCTCCTCCTACTCCTCCTCCCCTCCTCCTCCTCCTCCTCCTCCTCCACCTCCTCCTCTCATCATCATCATCATCAACATCATCATCTTCATCATCATCATCATCATCAGCATCATCATCATCATCATCATCATCACCATCACCATCACCATCATCATCATCATCATCATCATCATCATCCTAGTCCTCGTCCTCGTCCTCCTCCTCCTTCTCCTCGCCCTCCTCGTCCTCCTCTTCTTCTTCCTCCTCCTCCTCCTCCTCCTCCTCCTCCTAGTCATCCTCGTCCTCCTCCTCCTCCTCGCCCTCCTCGCGGCGCGGCGCTCGATGGGGAGGGTTTCCGAACCCTGGGCGCGCGATGTGAGCAACGATCCCAAAGGGTTCTCGCGCGATATGTCACGGCAACCTTACGCCTCAGCTTAGGCGGGCCGCCAGCGCGGCACGCTGCATTCGAGACGAGGGCGCGTACGCGCCAGTGTGTGCGAAGACAACCCAATTATTGGGGGTCGCTCGTGTGTGGAGGCATGGGGCATGGGAATGGGCACCAACACCAATACAGGACGTTGTCTCCACCAGGGGGCGATGATCCCAAATGTTGGTGTTGGTGGTAATCTTTCGGCCACCCATCGCAGGCGCCCCCCGCAAATCGCACCGACTTACCGAACTGCGCGTCGCCACCCCTGGAGCCGTCAGCCTGGGGGAGACAAAAGGAGGATCAAATTCGAAATGCTCGATGGGGAGGGGAGGGGAACGGTCTCGAAAAGCCAGTCCAACACGAAGAAGCCCTTGAATGGGGGCGCGTGTCGCAGCAATTACGCACCTCGCTCGGCAACCCCACGGGAACGGGCGCGAGACCAAGATCGGAAGGTCGACCCCTCGAGAGCCCACGCGCGGGGCGACCGACGGGGTCGAGGTCCTCAACTCGCGCCAGAGATGGGCCAGAAAGCAGCGCTCCTTGGTCTATGGGGCCCTCGGGGTGGCGCTCAAGGTTGTGTTTCGCCCTCAGCCACTGTTGCCCCCCGAGGGCGCCCCTGGAAGAAAAATCAAGGTGGGCTCGCGGATGGCGCCTAGAACTGCCCTTCGCCCGCCGCCCCCTGCATCGCCACTCCAAAGAGCAGAGGGAAGAGCGCTGTGCACATGCACCGATTCTGGCCAGGCCCAACCTGAGGCCAGGATCGGTGCATACTCCATCCCGTTTTGGCCAGGAGGGCACATGCACCGATCCTTGGCCCAGGATGGGCCAGGCCAAGATCGGTGCATGTGCATAGTTCTCTTCGCCCGAAAGAGGTCACCTGCGCGCCGCTAGGGGCAGATGCGGAGTGGCGAAGCGGAATGGGGGGGCGGTCTTGTGGCAATCGCGCGGGTCAAGGGCACGGCCAAGGAGCGATGTTTCGATGGAAAATCCGAATGGGGATTCAGGCCCCCAAGCTCCCCAGGTGCACCGCCTGCTCGGACTCGCCTCGCAAGTCTACGTAGAAAGAGATTGTGATCACGAGCGCGTCCATTCGCGCCAGCATCGCAGCGGGACATGCCGGTCCAATGGAAACGGCATGCCTCGATCCTCCACACCTCTCCACCCAACGCCCCGCGCCTCCTCCTGCGTCGGCATCGGGACACCCAGGGGGATGGCGGCTCGAGGCCATCTTTCCTCCTCCACCTCCGCGCCGATGTCCTCGCCCTCGGCCTCGCGCTCGCGCTCAACGCCGGCGGCCGCCGCGCTGGCCCCCCTCCAGCTCCTCGTCATCGTCGTTTCCGCCGCGGCCGCCGGCCGCCGCGGGGCGCGCCGGCCCGCCTCGCCCTTGCCCCGACCCATGCCGAAGCTCTCCCGGGTGTCGTGGATGATGGGCCAGTCGACAAAGCGCTGGGACACCATTCCAACCGGGTCGAGCCGGAGGCTCGATAAACCCGAGTAAACACGGAGGGCGGGCCTGCATCTTGCCGCGCGGCGCGGAGACCTGTCCTCCCCTGCAGCCGCGGGCGAAGGTGCGAAGACGAGAGCGACGACGACGACGACGACGACAACGGCACCGACACAGCAATCGAAGAGGGGCGGCGACGGCGGACGGACGAAACGGACGATGACGACGCGATGGGGAAGACAGAGGGTACCGCTGCATCCTAGTTCCTCCATCAAACTCCCACCCCTCTCTACGATAATGGATCTTGAGCGTTCGCTCGTTTTCTCTGCTGTGCTTGGGGCGGGGCGCGGGCTCTGGGAATGATGAACAGCGCGGCCAGACAACTTCCGATGCGGGGGCGGGCGCAGAGCGGGGCCCATGGCTCGGAGCAGGAAAGGTTGGAATGAATAACCTGGCTCGAAACCCTCACGACAATCGTGGCCTCCGATGGGGGGAGCCGCAATCGACTGCCCCCCCTCCCGCCCCAAGAGGCCCCCAGGACCAGGGGCCCCCCAAGAGGCCCCGGGGCCCCCAAGACGCCGCCAAGGAGCCCCAAGAGACTCCCAAGAGGTCCCCAAGCCTTCTTTCCCCAGACGCTCGGAAAGTCCAGCGTCATGCCGTGCGCACCGACCACAGAACATCACATCGCCAACGCAGACATCGAAACAGCCGACAACGCCGCCAGAACCCGTGCCAACTGTCCCGACAATGGCGAAACGGGTCCTGGACTGACTGCCGTGCCCACCATCCGTCTGGATCAGAACTTGGCTGTCATCGACAATGCGCGCCACTCTCCCGCTGATGTCGGCACGCTGCTCAAAATGGTCGGCAGCGTGTTCATGCAGTCGCGGTCTCTTCGTCTGCGCCTTCATGAGATCACGCGCGCTGGAGATGCCCTCGCCGACGGAGGAGTGATTATCTCTGCATTCAAGCGGGGGGCTCTTGGATCCAGCTCGGCAGCTGGCGCTCCGCGGCGCTCCATGTTTCCAGGGGGTGCTGGAGCGTGGGAGGGGGTAAAACCGATCCTCTTCATGGCGTTGATGGACACAGGCGCAACACTTTGCTCAGCTTGCTTATATCGCTGCCGAAGGCTCCCTCGAAGGCAGCGGTCTGGAACAACATGTCCACTTCCTCGATCGAGATCCTCCTGAGCTTGACGTCGACCTCTCCCAACGCCTTGTTTGTTGGGCCCGCCTGCGTCGGAACCCGTGAGGAGCCTGACCAGGACGGTCGCCTTGCAAGGTGCAGGTGAGGTTGCCATATTATTTGGTGCTTGTGCGGCGGCCATATAATTGATGCGTTCCTCCTCCAGAACCTGCACTCTGGCGTGGAGCATCATCATCACCACCACCATCACCACTCCGACCACAATAAGCATCAGCATCATCAACATCATCAGCATCAGCAGCATCATCATCATCAGCATCATCATCGTCCTCATCCTCATCCTCATCCTCATCATCCTCATCATCATCATAATCTTCATCCTCTTCCTCCCCCCGCCATCATCATCATCATCATCATCATCATCATCATCATCATCATCATCATCAGCAGCATTGGCATCATCAGCATAATCATCCTCCTCATCATAATCGTCATCGTCATCACCATAATCGCCATAATCACCATCACCACCATGACCACCACTACCATCAGCATCAGCATCAGCATCGTTACTAATCAGCATCAGCATCAGCATCAGCATCAGCATCGGCATCAGCGTCAGCATCAACATCAGTACCGGCATCAGCATCAGCATCACCAGCATCAGCATCATCATCATCGTCCTCGTCCTAATTATCATCCTTATCCTCCTCCTCCTCCTCCTCCTCCTCCCCGTCATCATCATCATCATCATCATCATCATCATCATCATCATCATCAGCATCATCATCATCATCAGTAGCAGCATCGTTAGCATCGTCCTCCTCCTGAAAATCGTCATCGTCATCACCATCACCACTATCACAACCATCACCGCCATGACTCCTCGTCGTCATCCTCATCCTCTTCCTCCTCCTCCTCCTCCTCATCACCATCACCATCACCATCACCATCACCATCAACATCACCATCACCATCACAATCATCATCAGCATCAGCATCAGCATCAGCATCAGCATCAGCATCAGCATCAGCATCAGCATCAGCATCAGCATCGAGCATCAGCATCAGCATCACATCAGCATCATCATCATCATCATCATCACATCATCATCATCATCATCATCATCATCATCACCATCACCATCACCATCACCATCACCATCATCAGCATCATCATCATCATCATCATCATCATCATCATCATCAGCATCCTCCTCCTCCTCCTCCTCGTCGTCGTCGTCGTCGTCGTCGTCGTCGTTCCCGCCTTCCCTCCCTCCCCCTCCCTGCCTCCTCCTCCTCCTCCTGCTCCTCCTCCTCCTCTTTCTCCTCCTCGTTCTCATCCTCCTCCTCTTTCTCCTCCTCCTCCTCCTCCTCCTCCTCCTCCTCTGCCTCCTCCTTTCCTCTTCCTGTGCGAGGCAGCGGCGCGCGCCCCAGCCGCCGACGCCCTCCCCGCCGTGGGGCTGGCCCCAGCAGGCGTTCCGCCTGGTGGCCGCGGCTCATCGCGGCTCCTCCTCCTCGTCTTCCTCCTCCTCCTCCTCCTCATCCGCCTCCTCCTCTTCCTCGGAAGAAGAAGGAGAGCAAGAAGGAGAAGACGCATAGTAATCCGCCGGCCCCCTTGTGGGGCCACCAGGCTGTAGGCGCGGGTTCGCAGTTTCCAGTACCAGTTGTAGCTTGTAGTTTCCAGTGTTACAGTTCTGCTTCTTGCTGGTTACTGTGACTAGTTGACTTCTTGCTGGTTACTGTAACTAGTTGATTGACCGCGCGAGGGGGGGGAGGCCCAAACAAGACTTTTAGCACCCCCTGGGCGCGTTGTCTGAATTGCTGGGGGGGCTCGAAATCGACACCCCTCACGCAGATCCGCGGGGTCAGGGTCCAAAAACACAGGGGATGTGCCACATTTCTGAAATTCGGTGCCACCCCTCACGCAGATCCGCGGGGTCAGGGTCCAAAAACACATGGGATTTGGCACATTTCTGAAATTCGGTGCCACCCCTCACGCAGATCCGCGGGGTCAGGGTCCAAAAACACATGGGATTTGCTACATTTCTGAAATTCGGTGCCACCCCTCACGCAGATCCGCGGGGTCAGTGTCCAAAAACGCAGGGTATTTGCCACATTTCTGAAATTCGGTGCCACCCCTCACGCAGATCCGCGGGGTCAGGGTCCAAAAACACACGGGATTTGCTACATTTCTGAAATTCGGTGCCACCCCTCATGCAGATCCGCGGGGTCAGGGTCCAAAAACACAGGGGATTTGCTACATTTCTGAAATTCGGTGCCACCCTTCACGCACATCCATCGCAAGGCGTGGTAACCCAAACTGCGAGAACTCCCTCGGCCCTTTAATCGCAAGGTGTGGCAACCAAGCCCGTACACCATACACGTCTTACCAATCGCCAGGTGTGGTAACCCCTCTTGTGATCAGTTGGTTTTGCTGATTGCGTTCGGCTTCGCATGAAGTTTCGATACTGCTTCACAACAGCGCCAAGGCCTCATGACTTAGCTCTTCCATGGCCCATTCTCCGAGAGAGGGGGCCGGCGGCAGGGGGCGAAGCCCTTACGGATAATATGAATATCAGTACGAATCAGAAACAAGAACGACACTAATGATGGTCCTCCTGATCGTCATCGTTCTTCCTCAGACTCCTCCTGCTCCTTTTCCCTCCTGCGGATCCCCCCCGCGTCCGAGCTACGAGCCAACGCCGTCTTGATGGTTTCCACATGTCATAGCTCTGAGATTGTGGCCGCCACCTGCGGCCTCGCCCACCAGCTGTCGCGCTGCTGCTTTCAGGAGACGATCCTGGAAGCTTTTCGTAACCACCTCCCCAGGAGGAGGACGAGGACGAGGAGGAGGAGCAGGAGGAGCAGGAGGAGCAGGAGGAGGAGGAGGAGGAGGACGAGGAGGAGGAGGAGGAGGAGGATCACCTGAGCGGCCGCAGTGGCTCCTCCATTGGAGGAGCCACTGGACCACTGCCCCAGTGGACCACAATTGCCTCCGGTGGTCCCTCGTGAGGCCTCCAGGAGTCCCCCGCGAGCCTCCCGCGGCCTACACTGGCTCGTCCAATGGCCCCCGGTGGCTTCCAGTGCCCTCCAGTGGCAACGTGTGGCCTCCAGTGGCACCGGCAAACCACTGACGACCACTGGAGGCGCAGGAAAGCCAGACTAGGTGGCTATAAAAGGCTCCCAGGATCGTCTTCTGAAGCTGCTGCTTCGAATGTTCGGAGCAGGGCGAGCTGCGTCAACGACAGCTCAAAACCGTTCCCCGGACCCGCGCTGGGTCCAAACGCACCAGCTTTCCGAGCTACGTCCTGCCGTGGAGGCGAAGGCTCCCACCCGAAGGCCAACTACCGCTGTCTCAACCTCGCCCGCCTCTGACTTATGCATTTTTGCTCATCTTCGATTGTGGCCGCCACAAGCCGCCCGGCCTGAGTGCCAACGTGTCGAAAAAATCAAAGCATTGGGAAAAGTAGAACCCAGTATTCTGCGCCATTTCTTCGAGACCGATCGATATGTGAGGGTCCTGGGGCCCGAAACTGGGCGATACCGCCCGCCGCGAAACAGTTTGCAACGCCTGGATCTCAGGGTTTCAAAGCCGCCATAGCCAGCCCACCGGCTGTCGCGCTGCTGCCGCTGCTGCTGCCTGCCTGCATGCCTGCCTGCCTGCCTGCCTGCGCTGCCGCCTCCGCCGCCGCCGCCGTCGTCGTCGTCGCCGTCGTGGTCGTCGTCGCCGTCGTCGTCGTCGTCGTCGTCGTCGTCCTCGTCGCCGCCCAGCCCACCAGGTGTCGCGCTGCTGCTGCTGCCGCCGCCAGCGCCGCCCGCGCCGCTGGTCGCAGCAGGGGCGTCGGCGAAGGCGCGGGTGCGGCGCGGCTGCGGGCGGGCGCGGGGGGCTTGGCTCCTCCTTTTCCTTTTCCTCCTCCTCCTCCTCCTCGTCCATCCTCCTCTATCCTCTATCCTCTATCCTCTATCATATCTCCTCCTACTCCTCCTCCTCCTCCTCCTCCTCCTCCTCCTCCACCTCCTCCTCCTCCTCCTCCTCCTCCTCCTCCTCCTCTATCCTCCTCTATCCTCCTCCTCTTTCTCCTCTTTTTTCCTCTTCCTCCTCCTGCTGGCTGCCAAGAAAGGAGGTGACAGAGGCGAGCCAGCAGGCGGGAGCAGCGGGCGAGACTGCACGATCCGATCCACGACAATCCGCCCCACGTTGTGCCTCCCTCCTCCTCCTCGTCCTCCTCCTCCTCCTTATTCTCCTTATCCTCCTCCTCCTCCTCCTCGTCCTCGTCCTCATCCTCCTCCGTCCGCCTCCGCCTCCGCCTCAGCCTTCTACTCCTTCTCCGCCTCCTTCTCACTCATTGTCCTCCTCCTCCTCCCACCCCTCCACAGCCTCCTCATCCTCCTGCCTCCTTCCTCCTCCTCATTGTCCTCCTCCTCCTCCTCCTCCTCCTCCTCTTCCTCCTCCTCCTCATTGTCCTCCTCCTCATTGTCCTCCTCCTCCTCCTGCAGACACTTCCCGCGCCCCGGGGCATCCGCGGGGCCCCCGTTGCCTGCACCACGGGCCGCGCGCCCTCGCCGCCCGCGGCGGCGGCCTCTGGGCCCGGCGCGGAGGCGGCTGCCGCGGGAGCCTGCGGGCCGTTCGTTCGCCGCGGCGGCCACCCGTTGGCGGCGCACGACGACGACGACGACGACGGCGTCGACGACGACGACGACGACGGCGGCGACGGCGACGGCGACGACGACGGCAACGGCGACGGCAACGGCGACGGCGACGGCGACGACGACGCGGGCCGCAACGGGTTGTAGGGGGCTGGGGGAAGGCTTCTGTAGGGAAACAAGCAATCAAATAAACATGAAGACTCGGAGGATCGGCTCTGGAGCCCTCCTGGTGGCGCCTCCGGCGCCGGCCCTGGCGCGCTTCTTGCGCCAGGCAGGGGGGGGGGGCCAGCGCCGATCCGAGGAATCCGCGCAGACCTCCGAGCTTTTATGTCATTGTTTGGTCCCCTGTTCTCTCGGGTGCTGCTAGAAGTGCCCTTGGCCCAAGGCGATGCCAGAATTTCCAAGGAGGCTCCCACGGCCTCCAGGGTACCCCGTCACGAGGCCCAGAGGGCCCCAGGGGCTCCCAAAGTGAGCGAAAAGCTGGGGGCACCTTGGGCCAGGGGCACTCGTAGCAATCTCCGATTCCTAGAAGGAAGCTGGCTGCTTCTCAGCAGGCGCCAGCCCTACATCTGTAGATAGGGCCCGCGCCTTCTGAGAAGCAGGAGTGCCCGTAAGAAGCCTCCCCCTTCCCCTATAGCCCACCTCTGCGCGTGGCCGAACCCCGACCCACGACCCACGATCGACGATCGACGGACGACGGACGACCAGCGACTGACGACTGGCGACTGACGAATGGCGACCGACGACTGGCGACGGCAACGCCCTCGCCGCTCAACCCCAGCGCGCCCTCGCCGTCGTCGCCGCTGCCGCCCTCGCGCCATCGCACCCCCGCCCCCGCGCCCGCGCCCTCACCGCCGCCGCCTCCGCTGTGGGCGCTCGGAGAAAAAGGTACGGACAAAAAATGGCACAGTAGACCCGCATAATAAGGACGCACGACAAGAATGCAAGGGCCTCGGAAGGCCCTGTCGACACTCTGCGAGCGGGGCGCGGCCGGCGAAAGCGGCCAAGGATGGGCCGAAGGAGAAGGATGCAAGGGTAACCTTGGAAAGCTGCTCATCCAGATTATGCGGGTCGACTGTACACAGAAGGGACGTGAAAGAAGCAAAGAGGAGGAGGAGGACGAGGAGGAGGAGGAGAATGAGGAAGAGGAGGAGGAGGAGGAGGAGGAGGAGGAGGAAGGGGAGGAGGATGGAAGGAGGATGGAAGGGGAGGAGGAGGGAGGGGAGGAGGAGGAGGAGGCTGAGGAGGAGTAGGAGGAGGAGAGGGATGGAGGAGGGAGGAGGAGGAAGAGGAGGCAAAGGAGGAGGATAGGGCGAGGGCGGTAGGGAGTAAATGGGGGGGAAAGGAGGAGGGGAAAGGGGTGTGGCGGCGGGCTCAGTGGGGGGAGTGGGTGGTGAGCGTTGCGGTGGCAAAGGAGAGGGAGGGGGAGGACGGAGAAGTGTCTGCTTGTGCGTTCTTTCGACCGTCTTGTTCTTCGCCTTCTTTTTCTGATCGCATTCGTCGTCGTCCGCGTCCTCGGCTGCGTGGTGAATCCGGATGTACCCTATAGTACCCGCCATCTTTTCCAGCCTCAGGCCGTCGGCCCTGCCGTCCTGCTGCGGGGCGGCGCCGCCTTCGCCTGGCGCGGGCCGGGCTGCCGCTGGGCTCTGGCGCCGGTCGGAGGCTCGCACGCCGTTGTCGTCGTCGTCGTCGTCGTCGTCGTCGTCGTCGTCGTCGTCGTCGTCGTCGTCGTCGTCGTCGTCGTTGTCTTCGTCGTCGTCGTCGTCGCCATCGTCGTCGGGCGCCTCTTCTCGCCGAGCGGAGGCCGAGGCCGAGGCCGAGGCCGAGGCCCTCGCTTCCTTCGCTTCTCCACTGCGACGCAGCTCAGAGGCGCGGGGCGTCGTTAGTGCCGATTCGCCCGGGCCAGCTCCTCCTCCCTCCTCCCTCCTCCTCCTCCTCCTCCTCCTCCTCATCATCATCATCATCATCATCAACATCATCATCATCATCACCATCACCACCACTACCACCACCATCATCATCATCATCATCATCATCATCATCATCATCATCATCATCATCATCATCATCATCATCATCATCATCATCCTCATCCTCATCCTCATCCTCATCCTCATCCTCATCCTCATCCTCATCCTCATCCTCATCATCATCATCATCATCATCATCATCATCACCAGCATCATCATCATCATCATCATCATCATCATCATCATCATCATCATCGTCATCATCATCATCGACACATCACCGTCACCATCACCCTCACCATCATAATCAGCATCATCAGCATCATCAGCATCATAATCATCATCATCATCGTCATCATCACCATCACTATCACCGTCACCATCACCGTCACCATCACATCATCATGATCATGATCATGATCATCATCATCATCATCACCATCATCATCCTCACCGTGATCATCATCACCATCACCATCGCGATGACCGTCGCCATCATCATCATCATCATCAGCATCAGCATCAAAATCAGCATCAGCATCAGCGCCAGCATCATCATCAGCATCATCATCATCATCATCATCATCATCATCATCATCATCATCATCATCATCGTCATCGTCATCGTCATCGTCATCATCATCACCATCACCATCATCAGCAGCATTAGCAGCATCAGCCGCATCAGCAGCATCATAATCATAATCATCATCACCATCACCATCACCATCGCCACCACCACCATCCTCATCCTCATCCTCATACTCATCCTTCTCGTCCTTCTCATCATCATCATCATCATCATCATCATCATCATGATCATGATCATGATCATGATCATCATCATCGTCATCATCCCTCCTCCTCCCACCTCCACCTCCTCATCTTTCTCGGGACCACAATCATCATCATCAGCATCATCGTCATCATCATCACCATCATCATCATCATCATCATCATCTCCATCTCCATCACCATCACCATCAGCAACAGCAGAGCCTGTGGCATGATTGTAACCATGATCATCATCATCAGCATCATCATAATCATGAGCATCATCCGCATCATCACCATCACCATCACCATCGGCATCATCACCATCACCATCACAATCACCATCATCACCATCACCATCACCACCCTCATTATCATCCTCATGCTCATGATCATCATCAGCATCATCATCACCATCACCATCACCATCACCATCACCATCACCATCACCATCACCATCACCATCGTCATCACCATCATCATCACCATCATCATCACCCTCAGCATCATCAACAACGTCATCATTATCATTATCAGTATCTTCATCATCACAATCGCCATCGCCATCGCCATCAGCATCAGCATCATCATCAGCATCATCATCCCTCCTCCTCCCACCTCCCACCTCATCTTTCTCGGGACCTGCGTTCGACCATCGGCGCTGGGCGGCCCCCGCGCCGAGTAGGAGGAGGAGGAGGAGAAAGGGAGGAGAAAGGGAGGAGAAGGAGGAGGAGGATGAGGACGACGACGACGACGACGACCGACCGACCGAGCCGAGGGAAGAGGAGGAGGATGAGGAGGAGGAGGAGGAGGAGGGGGAGGAGGAGGAGGAGGAGGAGGAGGAGGAGGAGGAGGAGGAAGCAGGAGGAAGAGGAAGGAGGAGGACATAACCAAAATACAAAGGAGGAGGACAAGGAGCAGGAGGAGGAGGAGGAGGAGGAGGAGGAGGAGGAGGAGGGGGTGGAGGAGGAGGAGGAGAACGACGACGACGACGACCGACCGAGCCGAGGGCGCGTCCGTCCGAGGGCGGGACGCCTCCCGCCGCGCCGCGGAGACCCCTCGAAGAGCTGCGCGGGCGGCCACGGGGCCCTTCTCCGGACCTCCGGACCTCCGGACCTCCGGACCTTCGGACCTCGACCTCCCCAGACCTCGGGCGTCTCGAAAAAATCGAGAGGGGAGGTTTTTGGTCGTTTTCGGCCCCTCGGGACCCTCGCCGGGCCACGGGGCCGTCAAAAAGCGACTCGGGACGAAGAACCGGTCCCGGGGAAGAGGTCTGGAGGTTGGGGGCCCGTGTCTCGGAAAAATCGAGACGTCGAATGTCTGGGTCCGGACCTCCGGACCAGGAGAGCACCACACTCGACCTCCAGACTTTCGGGCCGGGCGAAAGGGGGGGATAGCGAAGGGGAGGGTTGAGAATCAGCTCACGTATAGCTGATTTTCCTGGCGCCTCCCGGCGCCGGGAGGCGCCCATGGGAGGCGCCCATGCATCGAGGAATGGGCCCGGGGGCGGGGCCGAAACCAGCTGCAGGCAGCAGACTTCGTAACCCCCCTTTCCCTGTCCCCCCCTTTCGTTCGGCCCGATCCGGACCTCCGGACCTCCGGACCAGGAGAGCACCACCTTGGCCCCTGCCGCCATTGGGAGCGCCAGCTCAACCAGTGCTCCGCAGAAAGAACCTCGAGCACTGGGAAAGGTGTCGAAAGAGTGCCGAAGTAGTGTCGGACTAGTGTCTCCCAGGGCCCGACACGCGAAAACCCTCGAGTTTCGGTATTTTTTCAGGTGCTCGAAAATCTTTCTGGTGATCAAGGCTAAAGTAAGTTGGCACATCATAGCCCCAGCCCCGTGCCAACCTGAATTGGCGGGCAGCCCGGCTGGCCTCGAAGACGCCCTCCAACACCGAGACAGGGAGGCCGAAGGGCAGGCGGGTCACGACGCGGAGCGGACTCTCAAATCCGACGAAGCAGCGTTTCGACCGGCGCCCCGCATCTGGGACACTGGGGAGGGACGAGGTATCCCGCGCTCCGCTGCCCCTCGTGAGGACACTGGCCGCCAGTGATCAGCGGCCCGACTTGATAAAAACACATCTTTCTTGAGCAAGCGATCGGCTTCAACTCGTCGCATGAAAACGTCAGTTCCCAAGGTTGCATACGGAGGACAAGGAGGAGGAGGAGGAGGAGGAGGAGGAGGAGGACGAAGAGGAGGAGGAGGGGGAATGAGAGAGGCGCTCCCCAATGCGGATCCCTGACTATCGCATGAGACTGAAAGCGTAGCGTGCAAGTACCGTATCTTTGCCTCTTTGCCACCGAGGTGAGACAGGAGGCGGTGGGAGGGAGGGGAGAGGGAGCGACGAGGATGGGAGGGAGGCAGGCAGGGAGGGAGTAACGCTAGAGTAATATCTTCTTGAACATCAGGTTCTCCTCCTCTGAATCCTCCCAAGAAAGAAAATGTAGTACCTTTTCCTCGCTACTCGCCGGAAGCTCACCAGCGACTGTAATACCAGCAAGCAAACATATATCTTGATATCAGCAAGGGGAAGAAGGTAGGAATGTTCCTCGTTGTTACGTTGCCGTACTTAAGAAGAAAAGAGAGGGATAACTGCGCAGCTTGAGCCCGAACGGACTATGGGACGCCGTCGAATGGCGGCGTACGCACACCTGCTGCCTTGTATGCTCTAGCGGGGCTCGACTCGATCGGTGCTCTATCAAGTCGGCTCTGGACGTGGAGGTCTCTGACCCCATACATCCAACTCGTGCTTTACATAAAGCTGCAATCAGCACACGCGCACAGAGGGTGCACAGCAGATACCGTGCACAACAACTGAACACCTCAGCGCCTACATTTAACAGCACTGCAGATCGCAGCTGTCTAGACTGCTAGCCGCAGACCGAGAGGGTCTGCCGTTCAAGCACACGGCTCCAGGCATGCACACATCTAGCTGCGCGAGAGGGTTCTCGCCGAAATCTGCACACTGCTCGCAGTACGGCCGGAACAAGGCCACAAGAACATCGGACAAGAACATGAGACCCTCCGCGGGCCAAAGTACCCCAAACCATAAGGACGTCGAGGACGCCCTTCCGAGGTGCCCCCGACCTTCACTTCCGAGCCAACGTGCGTAAGTACGCATCTGGTTCAGCCCCCAGCCGAAAGCCTTCGACTGCACAGCCTGGACCACGCAACCCCGAAGCCCTGACCCCCCCCCCGCCCCCCGAGACCCACGCTGTGTTCCTGCGCCCTGGATCTGCCTCCGCGCGTCCGTCGTCATCCACGAGCGCGCGGTTGCTGGAGGCAGCACGTTGACATCGAGACCGAAGAACATGGAGGGTCTTGTCCGCGCCGCGGACGCGCGAGGCCTGCGACCAGCTTAGTCGGGCTCTAGCAGTGGGCCTCAGCGCCACGTCTCACGCCCTGGCACTCATGCACGCGCGCGAGCTCTCGCCCCAACCCCGCGGCGCCCCAGGGAGCCTCGCGCGACCTCGCCTGCTCGCCCCAGACTCAAGGCCCCCGCCACCCTAGGCCCAGCTCCAGGCTGCTGTTGCCCCAAAACAAGAACATGCGAGGGTGTGCGTCTCCGCGCCGCCGTCATCCACGAGCGCGCGGCTGCTGGAGGCGACACATTGACACCGAGACCGAAGAACATGGAGGGTCCTGCCCACGCCGCGGACGCGCGAGGCCTGCGGCCAGCTTAGGGCTCTAGCAGTGGGCCTCAGCGCCACGTCTCACGCCCTGGCACTCATGCACGCGCGCGAGCTCTCGCCCCAACCCCGCGGCGCCCCCAACAACTCTGGGTTTTGCAGCGGCGCAACTCATGGGTTTTGGTGCATGTGTTCCAGGCCAACATGGCGACTCTTCTATTGCCGATAACGCGAAGCTCCGCAC